TATATAAATCAAATCATGATTCTTTATATTTTGCATATTTGTCACACTTACAAGATTCAGATCATCAAACTAATTTTAATATTACACAAAGATAACACGAGCAAATACAAAATGCAGTTTTGAAAAAATGATTTCATTTATTAGGGGAAAAAAGCTGTCCAAACCTGCCTGTCCCTACGCCGGGCAAACTGAATCGCATAGCCAAGGCTGATGGTATGATACCGTGTTTGGTAGCAGTTTGGTAAGAGCAGAACGATGTTGTCGCTCGGCTCCGAAGCGAAAAGCGGACACACACCTTCCAAAAAGTTCAACTTTTGTCGCAGCAGTCCACAGAATATTTGCCCAAAAGTCTTGGGGATAATCAAGATGTTTTTTGGCAAATGTGTGAGGAGCCTTTGTGTTCTTTTTGGTCAGCAGTGGCTTTTGCCTTGGAACTCTCCCATGGAAGGTATAGGTTTGGACAGCTTTTTTCCCTTAATAAATGAAATCATCATTTAAAAACTGCATTTTGTATTTACTTGCATTATCTTTGTGTAATATTAAAATTTGTTTGATGATCGGAATCTTTTAAGTGTGACAAATATGCAAAAAATTAAAAAACAGGAAGGGGGCAAAAATGTTTTCACGCCACTGTATTAAAAAAAATTTGAAACATGATTGGGGACATGGGAATACTAATCATATTAATCGTTATGAATGTGTTAATTGTGGTATATCTGCATGCGTGCAAACCATGTGGCATTAAAGTTGCATTTATGTAACATATTAAAAATATGTACTGTAAAACTACTGTAAAATATGCAGTATTTTTCATGTGGTACATAAATCTTGTAGAAATGACCCGGCTGTAGAAGCATTATCGTCATAGTGATATCCTGACTGGATTACGAGAGGAGACTAAAGATTATATAGCGCTAAATCACCTTTAGTTTCTGTTTCAAGATGCAACTGAGTGACAAGTTGGATGGAGAATCAACATGAAGTGGGTCATATGCTAATCTGTCTTTTAGCCTTTTGATACTCTCGAGTCATAAAGTACTGAACGGCCCTGAAGAGAGCTTAGACTGAACCATCACAACATGCCCAGAGGAAAATATACAAGAAGCTTATCAAACAGAGGCTGAGATGAAGGCACAGTGGAAAACCATACCTTTTCTTTGATTACAATTTCTTTGGCCTGGTTTCCTTTTGTGTCTCATCCAGGAAACATGGTTACACCATGTGATAAAACAAATCTTTTCATGCTTATTAGGAGAATACTGACGTCATGTGAACATGAGGACAAATGGGGGAGGGATGAGTTCATGTGATGGGAAAGAAATGTGACATATAGTGAATGACAACGAGGGCAAAGGGTAGTTAAACAAATGGAAGAAAGATAATGTGTATTAAGAGAGAAAAAAAAAGAGAGGGAGAGGAGAGCATTAAAGGTCTCAATACTGGTCACCAGTGTGAAAAGGCCATGCCAGTCTGGATAAGGATCAGTGGGGTTACATGCCCATGAGGCCAGGGACTGTCCGCCCTCACATACAGGGGGTTGGACTTGGTGCCATATCAGAGAGAGTGCCGAAGTACACACAGTAATATGAGCTAAATAATCTCTGCCTCTCACTCACAAGCTAAAGAAGAAGCAAAAAGAAGGGAAATAAGAGACGTAAAAAGTCAACCACAGTCAATACATCAGAACCTCAGTGAGCGGGTTAGTTTTTTGTCCATGGTTTTAAAAGCAAACAGGCATCACTGTCCACAAAGTACACATTAGACATCATTTTACAATTAAGTATCACACTGGATTTTCAAACGTGAAGCCCGTTTCATTACAGTAAGTGCCTTTGATATTGCCTTTGCTGTTGTTGCCTGTTGCAGGATATCATTCCAATCACAGTACAATACTTAGGTCTTTCTCTTAGTCTAAATTTAATCTTCCAAGATAGTTGCTTAACAGGTTGTATGTTGTTTTTTAATAATAATAATAAAGAAGAAAAAAATATATACAAAAAAATGCATAATTAAAAAAATAAAAAGACTGTATTATTTACTCGACTAGTTTTTGCTGAAACTAATAACTACAAACTGTTAACGAATACAACAACTAGCTACTTTTATGTTATATATTCGTTTGTAAAAGAGAAGAGAAGCAGGAATATACGCCAATCCGTTGGCAAAAATTGTATAACTAGTGTAAAGTTAGATTCTTCTAAATTGGTCATTTTAGGAAAATAAAAACCTGCACTTTAAAAAGCATATTCGAAAATATGTTTAATAAAACCCTTAATCAATAGCAGTGACATAAAAGGGAAGATTTAGCGCTTCAACAATGTGATTTAAGGTACTGAAAACTGTGTCAAGCTTGTTACGTGTCCATGTAAACGAAAATCTTAAAATGCATGTGTACACAATTTTTTCATACTTTTTTGTCATCAGACGAAATAAACTATGCGTCATGTATAATTAAACTATAGTTAAAACTATAACTAACATAATAGGCAATGAGCTGGCACCTTTATCCTATTTTTGGGCTTAGTGTCTTTTGTATTATGATTCTTATTATTGTTATTATTATTATGATTATTATTATTATTACATTTCACTTTAATGTATGCAATGTCTTTATGAAAAACTAGAAAAACATAACAAAAACAAACAAAGAAAACAAAAAGGCTCCTGAAATAAATATGAAACTATACGAAGCCTATCCCAATAATAATAATGTCAAATAGTTATTATAAAATTAATTTAACAGGTCGCAGTATAAGACAGCAAAAAAAAACAAAAAAAAACTCGTAGACATCAATAAATCGTCCGTAAGCTCACTTTCAAAATACTGGAATCGAAAAAATATAGGCTATATTTATGTATATATAGAATTTTGTGTATTTGTACATTCTAAAAAATGCTGGGTTGTTTCAACCTAACTTTGGGTCAAATATGGACTAACCCACCTTTTGGGATAAAAAAATGTAATTTAAAAATGTAACCCAATAGTTGGCTTAGTCCATATTTTACCCAAAGTTGGGTTGAAACAACCCAGCATTTTCTAGAGTGTATGTGTTTTATACTTCTCCTAGTGCTAACACATTTCAAATTACAGGATTTACAGTTCTCAATTTCTATTAAAAATTAAAAATTACGAAAAAGTACGGAAGAGGATTAGGGTGTGTATACCCGCTAAATAATTAATGAAATAAGTTTATGTTAGGGTTTTAAGCCAGAACGTTATTTAACATATTTACGTAGGATTTGCTCTCCAGAAACGGTAACGATCACAGACGTCAAATCACAGATATTTTAGATAAAATTGAACCAATAAAAAGAAAATTAAAATACACAATAAAATAGTTTATTTTTTCAAAATTATATTTTATTTTCATGTAGCTAGTATGCAGTAATTTTAAATTTTGATATCCACAAACGATGCTGTAAAATGTTTAGTCAAATAACTCAAAAATATCTCTCATGTGATAAACTCATATGGTTTTTAAAACTAAGTTTAAGATAAATATATTATTTAATATAACTGAAGCAAGTCAAATATAACGTTAAATGTTTTTTTAAGAATTAGGTAGCAGCTATCCATTTACAGTTTTAAAGAAAAAGAATTAGGCTAATGTTTTCATGCTTTCAGCGCTTAACAGGCCAAAAATCTCGATATTACTGTTTCGTGCCAGCTTGGGGTCCTAAAATATATTTAGGCTATAGCTAATAATCACACGAATATTTTAACTGTGGCTTAACATATTATTTGACATATTTAAATGCATTATGCAAACACAACATATCCTGGGATGTCCCGATGAAGGCTGTCTCATTGCCAAACAGTGGCGTTTGCTGTAACGTCGTTGTGATGTAGCGACCGATCCAACCAATAAACGGAGCAGCATCCGATTCTACGAGATCCCCAGCTGACGCGATGCGCTGAACCACTATCTGTATTTTGATTTGCTCCATAATTGACCCAAATAAAGCCCTCTGTGACAGGGGTTCCACCGACCCTAAGGCACGATCAAAAGCGAAGTCGGTAAATAGGCCTACCCTTTCACGAGTAATCCCATTTGCTATTGTGCTCGTCCAATAGCAGAATGCCCTCCGCTCGTTAAGCATTTCACTTGACTTGGATTTTTCTTTACTACAGCCCCGATTCTCTCTGGACGGAGCCGTGGACGCACGAAGGATTTCATCCTGCTGAAGAGATGGTTGAGCTGGGATATCCGGAGAGGAAGGATTCGTTACTTTTTGCTTAGAAGTAGCCTATTCGCGAATCACCCGGCTATTGCTGTGACTGGTATATTTGTACGAGAAATGCATGATAAAAGCAAACAACAACATACTTCCACCACATCCAGGGGCTCGTCGTTTTTTATCGAGAATTTACTTGGCTCTTGTAGGACAGAAAAGTCCGTCCGTCCTTTAAAGAATAACGATGGCATGGAGCGAGAGATGGTTCTTAAGGGCGGCACTAAAGCGCATCGCAAGGAAATGTGCAGTCAAGCATCCAGCACAGGCTTCAAGACAGACATGTGTCGGAGCACACAATCACCTCTGGAGTGGTATAAACGGGACACCTCAGAGAGTAAGTTGCGGGATACACAGACATTGTATAAAACTCATAATTATGTTAAAAATCGTAAATGAAAATAATATAGAGATATTTAGGCTAGTCTGAACTGATATCTAGGCCTACATTAGATAGCCTATTTAATTTAAATGAGAATACAAGCTCCAATGGATTGTGATTCTTCTTGATGGAATAGGATGACTTGCGCATTATTAGTTCCCAACTGAATAATTATTTTCCGTGTTGGTAGGCCAATACAGCATCAATTATGCTACTGGGAGGTTCACATTAGTTTTAAGCCTCATTAGGTAAAACCAACAAAAGCAACTCGAAAGGAGCAGCCGAGTCGCAATGAAAACTTCCCAAACTCGTTAAAGGCTTAAGAGTGCAATTGGCTTGTCTGATTCTCTGTAAAGCTATGAAAGCCAGAGGGAGAGAGTTGGCTGCGAATACACACCAAAATTCCTTATATGGGAACGTGCCAGATTTAGAGCAGATTTTTGATATCACTTTGGCAAACATCTGATCTGAAACGTCTGATCAATTATAATAAACATGCCTCTCTCAAACACTTACACATTCGTTTAATCATTACTTTATCAGGTCCAAAAGGAGAAACCCGCCATTCCAGTGAACACTGCCGCAGCGACAGGAACAGCCCCGTGGCTTCTGAGCTTCTTGATGGAGCAGTGGACCGAAAAACGAGCGAGTGTGTGGTTGATGAGGGTGAGGACGCTCGACAGCTTTTCGACGAGCGCTCTGGTCCCGACACTTCGGAGCCAGGCTCGGCCAGGAAGAAAAAGACACGAACTGTGTTCAGCAGAAGCCAAGTCTTCCAGCTAGAATCCACTTTCGACATGAAGAAATACCTCAGCAGCTCTGAGCGCGCCGGCCTCGCGGACTCCCTGCACCTGACCGAGACACAGGTGAAAATCTGGTTCCAGAACCGCAGAAACAAATGGAAAAGACAACTGGCCGCGGATTTAGAGGCTGTTAATTTTAACCACAGCTCCCAACGTATTGTACGGGTGCCCATCTTGTATCACGATAAAACGACACCCATGTCGAATCTCAGTTTTAACGTGTCTCAAGTTTCGCCACCAATCATGGGCTTCTCAAATTCAGTGAACTATCCTTTATCATCTTTTGCTCATTCAATGAATTTAATGACATCGCAAATGACAGGCCTTGTCTGATTGTCTGACGTAGGCTATATTGACAAGTGGTCCAATGACAGTTATAATGATTCTGAATGGTGCACTAACTATATCCTGCTGGAAACTGATGTCTCCTGCGTCCAAAGAAAAGAAAACACCTATCACAAAATCACAAGAGAAATGACAAGTTTGTGTTAATTGTCACTGTTACCTGTCTATAATATATAGTCTTCTGTGCATGGGGGCCCTCACCTGTATGTAAATATAAGGGCAACACTTGCTTTGTGCAAATATATTTTTATTCAGAACCACCGATTTGTAAGCTTTGTCACTTTTTCACATTATAAATTTAAATAAACGAATCACTTTAAAGCAAGTATGGTTTTCCTGTACATGTGTTCTACTTATAGGCTATAGGCTATATACTTAGAAGACGTCAAGACTTTACGGGAAAGCGAAAAAATAGGCCTAATTCGCGTATCAAGCAAAATATTTCCACAGATGTCAAGATTATCTCGATTACTTTTCTAAATTTAAATATTTACATTTTCACAGTAAATCAGTGCAGCACTATTATTCACAAACAAAAAGGTGTGGTTAAAATAAAAGGCCCTCTTATGTGCACACAGAACACAACAGAAAACGCGGTAGGCCTACTAAATTCAAACACTCTGTTGAATTGGATATGTCCAGGTAAGCATGGAAGAGTCCGATTGCAGAATAATACAAGAACACAACAATACAATTAACACAAAATAACGTAATTTAAACGAATAAATATTAAATATCAAATGTATAGGCTACATATACAAATAAATCCCATGAAAAGCTAAACTCATCTAGGCCCGCAACTATACCAGGCATATTTACTTGCCTATTTAACAACAGAAAGAATAATGATATGAAAATATGATTTAGCAATTTCAGGACATTATTTTATTACATTAAGACATACAAAATCATATCATTATAGTTTATAATGATTTCAGATGTATTTCATGGTCCATTTGCAAGTCCTGAATATGCTTAAAAGACAATGAAATCTTAATTGTGGTGACGGACTAAAGGTTCAGTAAAATAATATTTATTACAACATTATCGTCCGTGAATGCTTTCAGTGTTCAATAATTAGATCAATTATTAAATGCCCCAGAAATAACAACTTAACTAGAAAATCACTAATGGAAAAAGTCAAGGACATCGTTAATTTTTTGTAATAGTCATTGCTCAGCCAAGATATAGTTCAAAATAATAATACAGGATGTTTCTGCCACGAACACCGCAACAAAATAAAAACAATTATTGAAATACTAAATGCAAAAGACAGCGAAACTTACTTATGGTAAACAACCATAGGCTAGACATTTTTCAACACTCGGAATTATCTCGCACGCATGAAGTGCAAGAAGCAAAATCAAAATTGTAACGATAAAGTTGCTATAATTAACTTAATTGGGAACTGAAAGTTCATCTGAAAGAAAAAAAAGTCATAGCCTAAGATACATTGACCTCCCTTTGTTCTCGAATTGACACCCGCAAGCGTCATCAAAGGAGCTGGAGAAGGCCAAAGAGGCTAAATACGCGCCTCTTACTAAAAGCTGAAATCTCTTTCCTTTTCGTAAGAGCTCTCATTAAAAATAGCAGTGTCGTTCACTTATCGAAGTATGTGTGCCAGATGTCTGGATAGGTCTGAGCTCTAGCTCCCACCCTCCTCTGCCATTGGCCGCCGCGCTGTCTGATTCTCGTGACCAATAAACGATGGAGAATCGTGTTCTTCCGGTCAGTGCACTAACCGTCTAGGCGAGCGCAGCAACACTGCAGGTCGTGGAGCGATGGTGCTTGGAGAATCGAGACGTTAGTTTATGAAACGGCAAAAAGGAGACACGGACAGCAAAGACCCCGCATCTAACGGAGAATATGAGCAAGGAGGACGCGTCATGTCGACCGGCTTCTTTGAAGTTCACCATTGACAATATTCTCAACTCCAAGTCGAGCAGCAGAAACTTTGACAGCTGTCATTCAAAGACATCGCTCATAGTGTGTCGGGATGGCTGTCTGCATCATCCCGGAGAGAGCGAGGGTCCATGCAAAGAAGGGTCAGATGCAAGATTGCACACCATTGGTAAGATATTGCTTTTAACTTTGGCACAAATCTGCAATAATGCATTATTAGTTGTACTGTAATTTTTGAGCGAATATCAATAGCATCTGACTGGCTTTCAGATAAAGTCAACAAAGAGGGAGATGGGACTGTGGTGGACGCGCTCAAAACCGTCGACACGCGCAGCGAGAGCGCGGACAGCTGCGATGACGGGCAACAAAAGAACAACGTCAAGAAGAATAAACTAATGACGAAAAAGAAAACGCGCACTATATTTTCAAAAAGACAGATCTTCCAACTGGAATCTACGTTTGACATGAAACGCTATCTGAGCAGCGCGGAGCGCGCGTGCCTGGCGAACTCTTTGCAGCTCACCGAGACTCAAGTCAAAATCTGGTTTCAGAATCGACGGAATAAATTAAAAAGACAACTGTCTACTGAACTGGAGGGACCGACTAGCGATTTCAGTGATGTTGGAAAGACGGTACCGCTGCCAGCTTTATATACTAAAGAGAATAATCTGCTCGGAAGGTGCATGCTTCCAATGCCTCTACCAGTCGTGTATCCTGGAGGTAGCGCGCCTTACTTTTATTTCTCAAACGCCAGCAAGTATTTCAGCCTGTTTGATGGAGATATATGACTTAGAAAAGACCCTCGCACAGGGGACGCAGTAACTCTTATAACAAAAACCGACAACACGGCCCAACTCAAATTTTGATAACAAGCATTATCGACCTTTTTGTGTGTTTTGCTGAGAACATTGTTCAGCTATCGGTCAGTAAAGAAGCTGGCTTGTATTTCTATGCAAAAGCCTATTTTATTTATTGTATGCTGTACACAATTTTTTTATAGGCCTAAATAATAACACCTAGCATATTATACCCCGATTACAGTGCATCAGAGTCAGCAGCCATACTGGCAGAAATGCCAGTGCCAATCACCCTGTCTTCACATGGCAGGACATTACAACACAAATGTTTTACTGTTTACATTATTATTGTTATTATTATTATTATTATTACATCTCCGCCAAAGATCGATTATTGCTGCATGCATTTGTATTTTAAATGGCCCTCTAATTTCAAAACGAGCAATTAAAACGTATTTAAGTGAATGTATTGGTTATTTTACATTTAACGCATGTTTGTATGTTTATTCATTTTTATCGTTTTCAGCATAACCTGGCCAATTAAGTAGGCTATTCTACCAGAGTGTCATTAAATATTCTGTTTTACACTTGCTTCAAAAGAAAACTTTTGTGTCCTGGCTTTTTTGTATTTGTAACAATTGTTGGGTTTTATCCATTTAAGAACGTTATGTTTTGATACTGAATCAGTTATACATATCATTTCAAACTAGGTCAGACTCACGGGTTTTTATTAAACACGTGAGTCTCATTAACAATGTTAAGAGTCGCATGTTCTTGAGGAATTATCTATGGCAAGCCAACAAAATCTCACCGGAAAACAAAGTAAATTCCGATGACCAAGCCTATTATACTCGGAACAAGTCTCAGGGTTACAGACCCCAACGGGCGGCTTATTCCAGCTGAGGATAGCCTATATCCTCTAACTCTGTAAAAAAAAACAAAAAAAAAACCTCGGACATATATTGCCTAACAGTGAACTACAGTGCCAATAAACGTTCGTGCAAATAGGCATTACAAAGTTCTACAAACGTGCATTTTACATGCAGTTTTATAGTGCTTTATTATAAATCAGCCTGCTTCACGTTTCACGTCATCATCTTGGAGTAAACTTTACTCAGTGACCATTAACACATTTTAAAATGAATAGCAGAGATTAATTTACGTGGTTGTGAGAGCTCAACAGTATCCTAGTTGTTTTTTTAATTTTCCAAAATTTTAATTACTAAATAAAATAATAATTATAATTTATAAAACTAAATAATTTGCGTGTACGCGAGTGTAGTAAATAGTTTAAACAGCGATGTTAGGCCTATATGCCTACTCTGAAAAAAATAATTTTGCTATTACAACGGTTAGGCCTACAAATTCTTATTTCTAGTGAGGTCATGTTGGGCCAAGGTACCGTTTCCACTGAAAGAATGAAACTTAAGGTGTCTGTTGTCATTTGGGTCCTGCTCTTCAGCTCTGATTCACAGATGCTTGACCTAATTTAATTCTTTCAGCCGCAGAGTTGAAAACGTGGCAAACGAGGTCTTGCTATTCGTTCTCTCTCGCAGTGGTAATAATAACTATAAGTTATTAAATAAGTAAGGTGAGTAATTATTAAAGTTTTATAAACCTAGATAGGCCTACTTGTTTTTCCGGAAAGGAATAGAGTTCACAGACGCTAGCCTATTTGCTCAAGGATAAGAGACTAGGCCTACCTTAAGGTTAATTGTTTAATTTTCTTAAACATTAAATAACAGCAAAGGTAGTTAACAGCAGCCTCCTAGATAACAGCAAAATTAGTTGTTTGCAAACAAGCTAAAACGCTGTAGGATATGGATAATCTCCTTTTACACCGACAACCCATTGCAGATTCCGGTTTACATTTTAGCCTACTCTCGAATGCAGCAATTAGCAAAACAATTAAGTCATATAATAATATGAAAACAGCGATGCCATTCAAAAACGTATTCTAGAAAAATGTTAAAAGACAAACAAGTACATGCAAATTGACTTTAAAATTAAACATGTAAGAAAAAAAAAAAACGTCTTGACTGTTGCTTTATTTATAAGCCAGACCGCCCAATACAGGTTCTCAAACTACATGAGAGTTTTAAAAACTAGCACAGATCTTGGGATGATTATTAATAAAAAGTTTTTAATGTTTTTTTGTCACTGAAATGATGTTTGAAATGATTCTCACAGAACACTTCCAAATCATATGAAACAGAACTTTTAGGCTACAATAGCAAAGCAAAGTTGAAAAACAACTAATTCAAGTAATTTTATAAATTTACAAGAAGGAAAAATGGCTAACCTAAAGTTAATATCAAAATGTTACTTTATATACTTAAACCTATTAACCTGGATTAAGATAAATTGCATTACTGTAAATGTGGATTTCAATTAAATATAATGTTGTGTGATATATCATGGATTTTAAAGTGGAAAATTAAAGTTACTGAAGGCTCAATACCCTTTACCATCTGAACATATTTTTGGAGAAAATAAAACTTTTGAAGCTTTTGACAACTTGCTGGATAATGTGACATAGTATTTCTTTTACAGCATGCAACCATTTCACGCATGGTAAAACGCTTAAAACTTCAATCTTTATATAGGTCTTAATATCTCA